GAAGTTAACTCACAATATGTGACCTGGTCTACTGAAAGGGGGCTTAGGTGTCAAAAAATCAATTTTCACTTTTTAGTTGATTCGGATGGAAGATGAGATGCTTTTTCACGTGATAGAATCCAAAAAGTCATCACTTGTTTGAAAGTTCCCTAAAAATGTAGAGAAAGAAGAGTAAAAATAGGAAAAAATATAATTTTTTTAAATGTTCCACACCGGCAACTTACACGATGAACTATAATAATATTCCGACCAAAAACAACACTTACTGGACGTCTTTGAAGCCTCTCGAAAGGAGAACAATTAATGAGATAACGAGAAACTGACGAAACAAGTTGTTTATTTTTAACAGCTGTTTCCCAGAAAACTAGTTTTCGCACGTTAGCTTCCTTTTCGTAGACCAGTTCACATATATAAAAAGTTTTCATACAAGGACATATATTCGATCGGTTAGTTTGTAAGGCCGATAGTAGGTCGAGCTGCAAAAATTTCTTTCAAGTTTATATCGTTCGATTGGGTAATAAAACACGAAATATTTTGTTTAGATATCTTGTGAAATAAAAAAGTGTTTATTTGTATGGTAGCGAAATGCTATAGTGGTCCGATATGGTAGTGTTTTCCAAACCTTGTAGCGTTTCCTTGCGATATATTTCGTGCATGATCTAGTGAATGTATCTCTCCAAATAAAAAAAAGTTTTCCCTACAAACACATGACATTGAAAGTCCAATTAGTACAGCAACGAGAAAGTCCTTTCGTATCTCTAATCAAACTTCAACTTTATAATATTTATAACGAATTTTAATAAACCAAATGTGTACCATTTTGTTCGACTACTTTTTGCCATTTTCCGTTAGAGATATTATTCCATCAGTGTAAAACTTTTCTGGTTTCTCGGCGAAAAACTGCGACAAGTAATTTTCACAGGCTTCTCTTGAAGTCCAATGGTGCAAGGTCAGCGCTATATAATGGATGCATCAAAACTTTCCGGCCAAGCTTTCCCAGTTTTTGCCGAGTCATCCGAAATGTGTGTGGTCTAGCGATGCGCTGATCGAAGACGCGGCTCTTTCGTTGATCAGCTCTGATCGTTTTTTTCGATTGCTTGCGTCAATCTCATCAGTTGTTGACAATAAAATGCAGAATCAATCGTTCGAGTGGGTTGAAGCAGTTCATAGTGGAAGATTCCCTTCTAACCCCTCCAAACACTCAGCATAACCTTTCGAGGCATCAATCCTGGCTTTGTCACCATTTGTTGAGCTTCACACGCTTAGCATTGTCGCATACTATTGTTGTATTTGATCCAATTTTCATCTCCGGTTACCTCTCGATTCAGAAATGGTTAGATTTTATTTCGTTTCAGTTCAAAAATCGCAGATGTTAATTCAGCCCATTAAATTTTTCACAGACAATTCTTGTGGTACCCAAACAACGAAATTCTTTTTGTAACTAGCCTTTTTTAAATGGTTCAAAACTGTTTGAGCATGAATTTTAAGTTCCTTAGCGATGTCATGGCTGCTTATGTGACGGTTCTGGTCAATCTTTCCCATAATTTTAGCGACTTTTTCAACGATAAGTCGACCAGAGCGAGTTGCATCTTTCACATCGAAATTTCCAGAACGAAAGCAAACGAGGCGTTGTTGTGCTGCACGAACTGGTACAGCGTCGTCTCCGTAAACTTCACAAATTTCATTGATGCCTTGCGTCGCATTCTTCTCTTTTTATGATATACAAAAATTTCAAAATACATCTAGCGAATTTCTCCATTTTTTTCACTAATTTTTGAATAGTTGCAACGTTTTTTCAACTTCCCCGAATTTAATTTTTACTTGTTTAGGTGAAGCCTAAAATCTCAGCTTTCCAACATTATATGCTATGACACATTGTGATTGATTGACAAAATGCGAAAAGACTTTTTCTTCTACACTATATTTGCTATAGTGGTCTGATATCGGCGGTTTCTGACAAATGAGCAGCCTTTTTGAAAGAAAGAGCCGTGTGTAAAGTTTCGATCGATAACTCAAAAACTTGTTCACATATGCACAGACAGGCTGACTGGTTAAATTGACTCAGTTCGTCAGGCTGTTCATATAAACATCATTTCTATAAGGTCTCTAATGTTTCCTTCTGGTTTTTATCAACATGGTTTAAAATGAAATATAACCTGTTCAGGGTATAATATCGAATATACAGCTGGTAAAACAATTTCAGTGCAAATCGTACCAAGTTATGCAGCTCTCTCAAATGCCTGCGTTATGACGATGACGATCAGGCTCTATGCCCTATGAAGATAGTGAATAAAAGATTCATTCTGTATTTCATATTATTTATGTTACGTATGTATAAGAGCACGCTTGAGTAACCTCGGGGCGTTTGTACGGCAACGCTTCCACTTATGAACCTGGCGGTGGTATCTGGTATCTCTCTTAACTGCCAGTTATTATGAACCACTGACGAACATAAAAAGGCATAAGTTGCAACAATGAAGCGTTTTAAAGTCATGCTACTAGCAAAATGTAACAAATTAACTCGCCTGCTCTGGCACACGCAGCCTACCCCTAGCGCCCGCTTTATACCGCCACCGGCGCGTGTTGCTTTGCTGAAATTGAATTTACATTTTTGAGCACATCGGTGCCTTGACGCCCTTAATGCATTGTTGCGGCCGCTTTTGCCGATAGCAATCGCTATAGGCAGCACAGCTCGTCTCTGTCTGGCGGCACTGCTGGCACTCCCGCTTCGCCTGTGCTTAACCTTTGCTTTTTTCGCGTTTGTGCCGCGCTTTTTACATATTTTATGCAGATCAGTCGCCGTCATCGGGCATAAATTTGCATCGCAATGCGCCGTCCTCCCTGTAGTTGCCACATACAGCTGTATATTACTGATAAAAGGAAATAATCATGCAGGCATGCGCTATAAATACACATATTTTCAAGTGCATTCGTGTGTGCGTGTGTAATTTGTGGCAAAATTGGCAGATAAAGATGCCACTCGTTGTGTCATTTCATTTATGGTATAGCTCTGCTTGCAAGTATTTCAGTACTCAAATGTTAGTACTTATTTACGTACGTGTATATGTTTGTTACGCAAATTTATGTTCCATATAGGAGTTTGTTTTATTTTTTAATGCACGCATGTTTCTATATATATGCATTTGTGTACGAAGGTTCTCACATTTCCATTAAATTTTCATATTTTTGCGAATCAGTTGATGCGTCTGCTGCATGCAATGATTCGAAATACAGTGACGAAGAAATTGTTGAACTGAATTAAATGTACTACTGTGATCAAACTGAAAGGTGAATTTTGTCCATTTCATTTCCTTCAAAGTAATCCCCTACCGCTGCAATACACTTATGCCAACGACTTTTCCAGTCATTATCACTTCGAAAAATCCTCCGTCGTGATGGCCTTCAGGGCCTTCTTCGATTCACCTTTTATATTTTCAACTGAATCAAAACGGTGTCCTCAAAGTGGTCATGTGAATTTGCTGTATAGCCAGAAGTAACACGAAGGTAAATCGGGCGAATGCGGTGGTTGCGGCACGATATTAGTTGAAAATATGGCGAAATGATCACGAATAACCAATGCATCATGAAATGGTTACTTCACTTCTTTGTTCAATCCATTCAGACATAGTAAAAATCGAAGAATTCACTTTCAGAGCTTCACAAAACGACGCATATCTTAAATTCAGCATAGATGTCACTAACAGTACTACGAACTTAGATTAGATTAAAAAATCACCTTTCAGTTTGATCAGTAGTAGGAAGAGATACTGTGTTAAAAATTTCAAATTTTTCTTGCATTAAACAATAAGTTTCTAGAGCCGGATCTGGTTACGTCCAAACCAGGTGATCCAGAAAATCATCTTAGGAAAGCGTCTATACAAAAGAAAATGCCAATATCCATTTGCCCACAAATTATCAACAGCAGAGGTTTTTGCTACATAACCAATGTAGCGTAGGCTGATTGCGTTAATTGAATGTTGAAGTAATCGCCGAAACCGCGGCTTATTTTGTAGCAGAGCACGTACTACATCAATTAAGGAAGAGCTAAGTTCATTTATAAGCGCACATTTCATATTCTTACATTTTGCAAAAACTAAATCCTGGGAAGTACCTTCAGCTACATTAGACCTGTTGGTTATATGCGGTTTAGGGCGAATTCTAGATTCTTCTCCGGCCTGTGGAATGGCACGAAAAGCTTAACATCAGGAGATGGTGAGCCCGTTTCCTCAATACATGGTGATGAAGCAGTTGTTACACTGCACGACCATGTAGAATTTCGACTAGCAATTACCCCCCAAATATCAACAAGACGGTGCGGACCGATGGATTGCCGGTCGAGCTACTCAAATACGGCGGCGAAAAACCGATAAGAAGCATACATCAGTTCCCATAACAGTCGGGTTTACATAACCGAAACGGACCCGGATTTTTTTATCCGGCCAAGGACTGTTAAGGCGGCAGATCTCTGCCGCTACAGCAACAACAAGAACGTTGAAATTTTACTGTGTTCTGCCCAAGCCAACTATCGTGGGACAACATAGCATATAAGGTTCCATAGGGGGTATTGTGTGAAAAATTAAGGCCCACCGTCAATAAACTGATTGGACCTTATCTGTGCGGCAGGAGGTCTGGAAAACCACACCACCTTTTCGTCGATTTAAAAGCCGCCTTCGGCAGTACGAAAAGGAAGTGCTTTTTTGTCGCTAAGTCTGATTTTGTTATCTTTGCAAAGCTAATACTAATACCAGACCAGTAGAAAATCAGAGTGACGAGCACATGGCCTTTTCTTCCCTGGACGAAATTCGGTGACCTAACTCATATAATTCTCAGTATCAGTTGCTTAGTTAAGTGCCCTGCTCAAAAACTTGCCCAAATCAACAAAAATATGAGACAAGAAGCCTTGTCATACAGCCATTGAGCTGTACACTCTATGAATTATATTCTTATTATTTGTCAAAATTGTTTTTAATTTTTGCCTACTCTTTCTCTTGTTCTTGTAGTGAAATTCCTGCGCGAGGTGACACCGTACTTCCGAAAAGCCAGTATTATCTCCGAAGTGGGCTGGGAATTGCAGCGCGCCTTCCTGTGTCCACTGGGGCCCGGCGCGCCTACATCGCCGCCAGCGCCGAAGATCACACCGCGCGCCGACACGCGTTACATACCGTTGCAGTTGACACATTTGGCGCGCAATTTGAAATACATCGATCCCGGTGAGTACACAGTCAACAACAATAAATTAATGTTTCAACATGTATGTATAGTAGAAGTGCTAAACGTATATTTGATAAGTAAGATAGATAGAAATGCCGCCTGCAAGCATTTGCTAATTTTTCGTAAGAGTCCAACAATTGCAAGGGATTTTTGCTATGAAATGTGTGTGGGCAAATAAATACTTGCATAAATCAGTTTGCTGCTCGCTCAGCTGGCAACAGAACCAGCGCGCAAAGTCGACCTAAAATATCTGAAATCCAACTGCACACTGATTAAGCGGCTCACGCGGGCAGGCTTGGTATCTACGCAAATGCAAGCAAACCCCCAATCGCGCACACACACCCCGTGAAAGCCACAATTTCCTACAACAACAAAACCATACTACAACAACAACAATAACAACAACAAAAACATTGACAACAACAAAAACGATGGCAACAACAAAACCGATGGAAACAACAAAACCGATGACAACACTAAAAATAGCAATAACAACAACAACAACAACGCTAACAATAGCTATAACAACAACTCCTAAGCCCAGAACTGCAGCTGCAACTCCAAAACCGACAACACTACTAACAATAGCAATAACAACAACTACTACTAAGTGCACAGCTGCAGCTGCAACAACGAGTGTTGCAAGTAAGGGCCGCTTGTCATTTGCATGCGGCAGCCAGCAGTCGCTGGCAACGATAATAGCAGCATCAGCAAATGCGATGAATTGCTGCAAACTGCCGGCGCAAAATACACACTCAAAGGCAGTGATCTGCTGACAATGAGCACCAGCCCTTACCTCGAGCCCCTACCGCCTGCGGCATAGTCTCATTACTCGTTGCACTCGGTGGCCGACTGTGATGGAGGCGCTGTCGTCTTTGCACTGCTTGCCACCATTTGTGGCAATAGCTATTGTTACACATACACACACACTGGCATACTCGTAATCACTTGGGTTCTACTTGCGCATATCTTTTGCTCGTCGTTGTGCTTCTTCATTTGCGTGTTCGCTTTTATGCCGGCGACTTTTGTTTCACTTCACAATGCCAACATACACACACACAGACTCATAAGCATGCGCGCACACCGACGGCTCTTGCAACGTCTTTGCGCCACAACACGACTTGATGGCATTTACCCCGCCCCAGCCCGCTCTATGCTGTGTAAAACTCAGCGTCCGTGCTCTTTTCGGGTTGCATTGAGTTCAGGGTTGCTGTGGTTAATCTTTCCGCCACGTTGATTTAATGCAACGTCGCCGCGCGGCAGCGGCAGCGGCAAACGCCTCCGTTGCAATTGTTTAAGCTGATGATGTTGTTGGTGTTGTTGTTGTTTTTTATTTGTTATTGTTGTATTTGTTGTCAATACTATTGTTTAATCACTAGGAAAAGTACTAACGGCGTCATTGTTATTGTTGTACTTGTGCTGTGCTCATAGCCGCAAATCCGACGGAAGAGCGAAACGGGCAAGGCGCAGCAACGAGAAATAATGGCCACGACGCGGCTGCGAGATAGCAGCAAGTGGCAAATGAGTGTGTTGCAGTAATTGTAATGTCTTATTTGTTGCTATTTTGCTTTCTTTAATCCGTCGTTATTGCACATAACAACAAAGCGTTGCTCTCGCTGTGCTACCCACCGCCAGCCTCCGCTACTCTCCGCACACTTGCATTGCTAGTGAATGACAGGAGGTCAGATTGAGCTTCTTCTGCTGCCACGAGCGTTCTGTATTTAGTATTCATTACTTTTAATATACTCAAATGTATTTATTTAGCAAGCATAGTACCATGCTTTCAATATCGAACCATTTTCTGGGAAGCCGTGTGTAATCAAATTTCTGTCAGTATTAATGTTATTACACCCTGAACTGGGTATGTAAAGTTTGCCACTGAGTCGAGTTAGCCATGTCCGTCTTTCTGTACCCCTGTATATACGCGAACTAGTCCCTCAGTTTTTGAGATATCGCTCTGAAACGCCCATTTATACTTAAAAAGTTACTTATTTGTTGAAACCGGCAGTGAATGATTTACTAACAGGTCAATTGAGAATATGGCGCTACTAGAATAATGTTTGGTTAGTTTAACAGGTTATTAACAATAAGCCACGCATAGAGCGGTTTTTATCCTTTGCGATACCAGATGGAGTTCAGTTCCTAGGTCCAAGAGAACAAGTCATATTTAAGGATACCTACGCTTGATGCGAATTTTAACAGACTCTGTGGACTCACTATCGATACCTTCTCCAGTGTAAGATACCGTGCGGACCCCAGTTGCTTACAGCGCAGTCTTGCATATGCAGGACAAAGGCACAATAAATGCTCCATCGTTTCCTTGAAGTCTTGCGCTAAACATTTTCTGCAGTCTTCTCGATCTCCGAATGGGGCTCTGCGGACATGTGTCGCCACCCGACAGTAACCAGTTAGTATTCCAATCAGGTTCCTACAGTCTCTTCTATTGAGATAGAATTCTGTGTACTTCCGATCTGCCGTTTTGCACACCGTCTTTTGCAGTCTTGCACCTAGGAAGCTCGTTCCATCGAGTTTTGATTTTCTTTACCATGCTTTTGTCGAAGACAATGCATGCATTTCCCAATTTTGTTCACGTTTTCGGATGTTAGCCTTACACCATTCTTTGCAACCTCGTCCACTATTTGATTGCCCTCGATGCCTTTGTGGCGTGGCACTCAGTAGATGTGAAGTGGCTTACTTCTGGAGGCACCATTTTTACTACTGCCCTGCTTCCCTAGACACTTCTGTTCATTATGTGATACGAGAATAATCCTTTGACTGCTGCTTGGCTGTCTACGTAGATGTTGACGCTAGAATTGTCTGCAGGTGCATTAGAGGCCAGCTATTCTGCTTTCGCAATAACAAAGACCTCATCTTGAAATATACTTCAGTGGTACGACAACTTAAAAGGTTGCCTTATGCCTAATTCTGGGCAAAATATTGGCGCACCAACTTCATTCTCCATATTCGAGCCGTCAGTATGCCTAATTCTGTATAGTATGTCAGTGGAATATTGTGCTTTCTTATAAACAGAAGTTGATTCGTTTTCTCCTGGTTACACTATGTCCCCATTATTAAGATGGCAATGTCGTGCGCATATACCAACATCTTAAGGGTTTTTGCTTCCAAGTTCCTTAGCAGTTTATTCACCACTAATGTCCAACGAAGCGGAGATAGCACTGCACCTTGGATAGTACCTGTCACGCTTCCTTGGTATTTTAGCGTCGTTTCATTATGCTCTTCTCCGTGTAGAGGCTTCTGATCCAGCATTGTATAGCAGGATCAACGCCTATTGACTACTACAACTATTCAGAACAGATTCCGTAAAGACGTTGTTGATATCGTTTATCTTTCCATGATGATATGGCAAACCTTACTGAAGTGAAATGTCAATAGACTCGGACCACTAGACTCGGACTACTTTTGTAGCGTCCCTATTGAAAACCTAGCTACTATTTTGTGTTTTCAAATCTAAAATATTTGTAATAAAACACAATTTCCCAGCGCAACGCTCCCATTTATTGCCACAATATCAACTTATATTGATATATAGATATATGTATTTATATATACATATATATGTACATAAATATATTCAAATTATATTCTTTCTATAAAATTCTTATCTCAGAGCGCAGCAAACTTTGCAAAGTCAACGCGTCAAATGCCGCAGCGCGCATTGTCGGCACTTCTCTTGGCGCATTTTTGTATTTATTGTTATGTGCATAGCTTTAGTTGCTGCGCTGCCACATGGAAATCCGCGTATTTGTCGAAATTGTGTCATATCAGGTGACGGCATTTGGGGGCTAAAACCGCCAACCCTCCAAAGCAGTCAACCAACTAACGGTGCAAACAAATATGCAGTGATTTTTTGTTTGCGGAAAATGCATTTGTATTTGCGTACAAATGGGGCGCCTACATAACGATATACCCCAATTTGTGGCAGACAATGCAGAGTTCAAAATTCAAAATTATATTCGCTTTTGCTTAGTGCCAAATAAAAAAATGGCTGGCAATACAAGTGAGTGACTAGACAAAATTCTGCAATAAATTTGCGCAAATCCAGATGCAAAAGCAACAGCAACAGCAATACAGTCAATAATGCAACAACATTAATGCACAGGGATGCAATAACTTTGCAACTCTGAAAATTGAAAATTTGGTTTTAGCTTAACTCAGCTTAGTTGAAATCTGTCATTCCGGCAGTAAAGACATATCATATACAAATGACCAAATTTTGGTCTCTAGAATGAGAGCGAATCATATGGAGCTGCTCTTATTCAGGTCTTTTGCAGACACTTTACTATTAACCTCAGATTTCTGCTCAATTTGAGTTGGATATTCGTCTTACCTGCGTCTTAGAGCTCAATATGGTTTCTGGATTTTCGTTCTCATTGGTCAGATTGTGGCTCTTGAGGTGGAAGTACACGCTGTCTACGAACCTATCTTCCTCTCCGTCTTGGCGTTTCAATATGGCTTCTCAGATCTCTCGTAGAATCCTTTCCACCACTCGCTTATCTAGTGTCGTTATTTTCGTTGTTGTCGATCGGTTTGCACTTCTTCAGGTGGATGTACACGCTACCTATGAATCTTTCATACAATAAATCCTCGGCCGATTTGTTTATTTGGTGAATGTAGTTTTGTCTACCGTCCTCCTTGCTGGAGTTGGTGACTTTTGGCACCGCCAAATCTTATGTCGCAGTAGATCATCGGTTTTTACCGTACTTATTATGAAATTCTTCGCCTTCGGAATAGAGGGAATCAAACTATGGTATACAATTTCCAGAACGGCGAACTGCCACGGGCTTTGTAGCCTCGCAGCCACTTAATTTATGCATATAAGTGAGGGATCATCTTCACATTTTGGCACATTAACCCCATTAAGTCAGCATGGACATCGAAAGTTGGCATAAGCGCCAATCATTCCTAGAACATATCCAGTGGTTTCAACTAAATTTTTCATTTCTCCTGAGTAATTTGTTCAAGGGAGTTCCTTCGGTCAATGAGTGCCATGATTAAATGCCACTTGACTATCTCCCTGAAGGCCTCACCCAATCGAGCATGACGTTTGGATTGATAGTGTGGTCCTGTTTCCTTGGTTGTTTAGTCGGACTGCTGTTTTGTTTTCATTGGACCAAACCCTTATTTCTGGGTTTTGCCTTCGGCCTGGTATTTATTACCAATATAGCCTCTTTGGTGTCCCCCAGATAGCTCAGCAAGGTTCAATCTTTCGTAGTGTTGACGCTTTCAACGGTTTCGAGGTCTGAGTCTTGAGAGACTGTAGCAGATAAACTAGTTGTACCCGCCGGTAGTAGCAGCCATTCCCCCCTCTGGCAATTGGGCTGTAATGTCTGCCCGTTTTTCTCTCTTTTTGACCTCCATTCCGAGCTTTGCTTTCAGAGAATATCCACTCCTAACGTTTTAAACCACTAACAGGTAGATTATTAGCGATGTGTGAAGCAGTTACACATCCGAATGAGGCGATCAGTGTCGTATGCAAAACAAGTTACCTGCACAAGACGGATTGATATATACCTATGCCTTAGCTGGAACCACCAAGTCTGCTTTAGAAACTTTTCTTGATGCCAAGTTGCGCCGGTGACTGACTATTGGACAAAACTTGTGAAGATATCTTGTTAAATAAAACATTAAAATACAGTTTTAATCTTTCCCTAGGCACACCAAAAGCTTAAGCCAGGTTATGTTAAGAAATCGATCATAAGAAAGATCTCACTTAGACAGCTCATAACGTCTGTCTGTTTTGGTAACTAAAATAGTCATATATATTGTAAACTGGATTTCATGACCTTGTATAAATTTGATATTTTGAGTACGACTAGGTTTTTTGAATTTTATTAATAATCTCGATGTCCAGTAATAGCTCCTACGGTTTCAGAAGCTCGACTTTGCTAAAGCCAAGCTATTCAGTCGATCTCCTGCGCTTTTGTTTAGGCCAGAAGAATCTCTCAGTTGCACAGAAGCTGGTCATCGACCTTACTTCCATTAATAATGCTTCGATCAATAATGCTACCATCCATATAATTTTCATTACGCTGGTATAACTCAGGTGATAAGATAAGCTTACCACACCACACAGAAGGCATCTCGACGGCCCAAAAGACCAATTTCAAACACAATTTATAATTGCGCCGAAAAGCAGCAGCAGCAACTTTCAGTTGAGGTGTGTATAAAAACGATTGCGCTGTACACACACATACATAATGGCCGCACAGTTGATGGGTGGCGCAAGGCGAAATTATGCAACAAAGTTGCTGCAACAAAAACTGTTTAATTAGAAATAAATGGCGAACGGTGTGCAACGAGCGAAGTAATGAAGCAAGCCGGCATAAAAGAAAAAACAAACAACAACAATGAAATGAAAACTACCACGGCTGATATTTATCTAAGCCGTAAGTAAGGGCACTAAAGGCGTAGTATGCGCTGCCAAGTATGGCAGATAGTGTATACAAAGTGCGGAAAGTTTCTAATTTACTACACAACCGACTTTGGCGATGTGATAACACAAAAGCAATAATAAAAATAAACACAACAATTTTGTACTTCGGCTTTGCTTTGCGTGTTGCTGTTTATTTGTGTGAGTATGCCTTGCATGAGTGTGAACAAGAAACTTACTGCCGAAAATAACCGCAAACGCCTGCAATGTTGCCGAAATTGTAGATGTGGTAACTACGCCGCCTACTTAATATATACAGCGCTATGCGTCTTCAAGCAACGACTCCGCTACTCGCTCATTACCATATAAATAAAAGAAAAAAGGCAGTCACCACAGGGCACAGTGGCCGATTTGACTAAACTAGCTTAAGAAAACGAATTTCGCAAAAAATAACTGAAATTTCACAATGTTGGTAATTTTATGAAATATTAACGCAAAAGGAACAAAACGATGTTTTGTTCAAATTTATTTATTTATTTTTTATTTTATATGGCTATTTTTTTTTTGTTTTTTTGTAATTTAAATATTTTTTT